TCCGACAACAAATTCATGCAAAACTTTACACACCACCTCAACAAGATATGTCATCTTCCCAAGAAATTAATACTAAGCTTAATGTTTTCAGATTGAACTTGAAACAAGGAGATAGCTCATCTGCAGAAAATGTTATGGAACAATTAGATAAAAGTGCTGTATCTAAATTATTGGATTGTCGACTAGTTCAGGGTATCAAGAGAATTGAAAATCTCGAATCTCGCGTGGCTGATACTAGCTCAAAAGTTTTAGTTGCTGGTGATGTTAATGCTGGCAAAAGTACATTTGTTAATGCCCTTCTTCGACGTAATGTAATGCCCGTAGATCAGCAACCATGTACTACTCTTTTCTGCGAGGTTTTAGATGTTCAAGAAAATTCTGGAATTGAGGAGGTTCATGCTATAAAAAATATTGAATCCTATAATCGGGAAGACCCTTCAACTTATACTAAAATTGAATTATTAAACCTTTTCGATACGGTCAACAATGGTACAGATGAATATGCTCAAATTAAGGTATAATGATTTTCGAATTATATAATATTATATATATTATATATATTTTTAATTACTTATTGTTAAACTATATAATGATACTTTTAAGGTATACTGTAAGGATAGGCGAGATGTACACCAGAGTCTCTTGCACAATGGAGTCGTGGATATTGCTTTGATTGACTGTCCAGGATTGAATAGAGATACGCTCAAGACCACTGCTTTGTTCGCTAGGCAAGAAGAAATCGATGTTATTATATTTGTTGTTAGTGCCGAAAACCATTTCACTTTATCGGCCAAAGAATTTTTGTCGAATGCATCCAATGAAAAAGCCTATCTTTTCATTGTTGTTAACCGTTTCGACAACATACGTGATAAAGAAAAATGTAAGCGTCTCGTGTTGGACCAAATTAAAGAAGTCTCCCCACGTACCTATGAGCATTCTGAAGATTTAGTACATTTTGTAACGTCTACCGCCATTCCAATTGTAAGCCAAGAATTGAATGACAAAAATAACGTTTCGTCAGCATCCATTGATAAGCAAAGGATTGATGATTTTAATCGTCTCGAAGAATCTTTGCGTAACTTTGTTCTCAAAAAGAGATCTAAATCTAAGCTGTCTCCTGCTAGACATTATATCGACAATATTTTAAATGATATTGGTGTGCTATCCGAATTTAATCGGGGAATAGCGTCTCGTGATGCCAAAAAGGCATTTAGCGAACTTGAATCTGGCAGAGAAGCATTTGAACGACTTTGTAATAATGAAAAATATATTACTTCGGAAGCCAATAAATGTGTTGACGATACATGTGATTCTATTATGCTATTCACCAAAAAACGGTTAGAAGATTCTATTTCCAACATTGATTCATCAGCTATGAATATAGAATATCGTGGCTTAATTCATGCGTGGGCATATGCCAACGATGTTCGTGACGCTATGCTTGAAGAGATTTCGAAAGGGGTCTATTCTTCCGAACAAAAAGCAAAGGAGGAAACTGTTAATTGCATTAATAGAATCCAATCCATGGCTGAAAATTTAGGCGGAGAGCCTTGTAAAATTGATCTTGAAAGAATGTATAGGCATGGAAACATTAACTTAGTATTAATTTCTTGGGAAGATGACATATCTTGTTGAGGTGGTGTGTAAAGTTTTGCATGAATTTGTTGTCGGA